TGTATGGTCGCACCTCCCAATCCTGGCGTGCAGGCATGCGGTGACGTGTCCCACAACACAAAATACGAATATTGAGAAATGACTTCAAATATTTATCCCGTATAATATTTTAAAAGCAAGAAAAAGTGATTTTTGAAATTTTATGCATCTTCACTCTAAAATTGCAAAAGAAACTTTTATTCCTCCCAAATTGTGCTATTGTAATGATGTCTCACACCTCGAGGTAGTTAAATAGTTGACCTCGATTGAAGATTTTGTTTGATGGTGTAATCATTTCCTTTAGTTAATTTTGTTTCAAGAAACGTTTTCATTATAACGCTTTCGAATAATTAGCTCCGTTGAGTCTCATTGCAGAAATGTTGATGTAAAACTTCACAATCTGGATGATGGAGCTCTCACTTTAGAGCCTACCGTTCCTATCAACAATCCGTTGCGATCTAAATTATTACGAATAATCCAATTGACAGACCTAATAAATAATGTGATCTTCGACTGTGAATCTGAAGCAACTCAACCTATGGCGAGGATTCCTCTTAAGAATTGTAACCTCTTTTGAGTTAAATATATTATCTGGTTCTCGAATCCCTTAGTAAAATCAGTCACCGCAAAATTAATTAATCTATCACTTTGCTACTCTATCTATTTTCGCCATTGTTACGAGCTGAGTAAGGACGTATCCATGTTAATTTTGGGAGTGCGCGTTCCAATTGCGTCGTATTCTCACTTGGTGCTGGTGACCCTGGCAACGACTCTAGTGTGCTCGTCGTCGTCACAATTAGTTATTCATTTGACTCTTTATGATATTCAGTTTTGGTTACCTAGAGAGGCGTCTTCATGTAATTCCACGTTCTAAGCTTATTTTCGTTTTTCCTTTAGGACTTTCAAGTATTCGAACTGCTTGGAAGAGGCGGTTTCGCCCAAGTTTATCGCGCAAAATCTGTTATCACAGGCCAAGAAGTTGCTATCAAGATGGTTTGCTTATGGGGAAACTTGATATAATTTGTTATTGTAGATTGATAAGAAGTACATGTATCAACACGGTCTCACACATCGGGTTCAGCGAGAAGTCGAAATTCATAGTCGCTTGAAACACCCCTCTATCCTAGAGGTATGTGCGCCTTTGTGATTGATTTGTGTCTTGTAGTTGTATACTTGCTTTGAGGACGCCAACTATGTCTACCTGGTTCTTGAGGTTTGTGACAATGGTGAGCTTCAGGCCTATATTCGCCAGAATGGACCTGTCTCTGAGGATATGGGTAACTTTCACATTCTTTATGAGTTTAGTAAATAAAAGCTTTTGACTAAATTTTAAAGATTTCTTCAGTATGATTAAATAGATAGAGGACTCGAAACCATCGACTTATATAACCACCCATGCTATTAGTATGACTAAGCATGTAAATCTTGCTGTCAATTTATCAAAATTTCATATTCTCCATAGCTCGGCATTACATGAAGCAAATCGTCAATGGTCTGCTGTACCTTCACTCCCATAAAATTCTCCACAGAGATCTGACGCTTGCGAATCTACTGCTTACGAAGGACATGAAAGTTGTGAGTAATTCACATTTTTTTAAATTTAATGATATTTGTTGGTATTTCAACCTACCGTTATTTTGTCAGAAAATTGCTGACTTTGGCCTGGCCACTTTGATAGAACCGGGGGAAAATCATAACACCATGTGTGGCACACCAAATTATATCTCGCCGTAAGTTTATCAAAATCTCGCACCCATTTTCATTACATCACTGTCTTTTGATTGTGTTCGGTTTGCTAGAGAATTCTGTTTAAATTTATGTTAAAGTCGGCAGTAGTCCGAAAGTATGTGCTAACTGGAAGTCATTCCAACCTCACCTTATGATTTCAAGTATTGCAATTAAATGAAATAGCCATTTAATGTCTTCATCTTTTTGCTGTCTTCCTTAACTAATACTTCATTTTATTTTTGTCCTGACTGATTTGAAACCCATCTTTCACATAAGGGGTGCTGGTTTAAGTGCTCATATCATTTGTAAGAGTGATATTACTTTTTTACAGCATGCAGAACCATACCTATCAATTCGGTCTTGTAGGACTAACCTTTGTAACAACACTGGTCGAAACATCGAATGATTTAACGAAGTTTAGAGAACGCTGGTGCAAATTAGCTAGTATTTTAATTCAGAGAGCCTTTATGCGAACCTTGTAATGGCAATGAAACCCATTCATAGAATTTATTTTTTCTCCGCCCGTATAAACTATAAAGAGCGTCTAATCCGTTGAATATCATAACATTTATGCCAACTTGGAGAAAAAAGTCACCTATACTAAGGTGTCTGATGATGAATTTAAATGGAGTCGGACTCAGAGCTATCGTCGATTTATCATCCATTTTCTTGCCTTCTTTACTTGATTATATAAATTGCTAATCGCCATCCCTATTCATTTGTAGTGAAGTGGTCAGTCGAGGTCAGCAGGTGTTAGAGACGGATGTTTGGTCGCTGGGCATTATGCTTTACACTTTAGTGGTGGGGCATCCCCCCTTTGATACTCGTGAGGTACGTAGTACTCTAAATCGAGTGTTAGCTGGTAACTACGAAATGCCCAGCCACCTCTCTCCCGAATGCACAGACCTCATCATTTGCCTCCTTCGCCAACAACCTCAAGATCGCATCAAACTCGCCGAAATGATCCATCATCCTTTCATCACGAGAATGAGTGATGGTGGCACTCCGCGGAATAAAATGGTAATAATCTTCCTTCCAGTTTTGTGCAATGTTTGTGGACGATTTCATTTCATACAGTAATTCAGCAGACCGACTGTATGAGTATCTCAACCAAGTAATGAAAATCCTTAGATTGGGCCAACAGCCTATCATCAATTAGGAATTTTTGTTGTGCTATCCACATTAATTACTATAAAAATTACTTATCCTATTCGAACTCTTTCATGATTTCCTTTTCTGCGGAATTTGTTTGGGTTCATTTTTCTACAGCTCAAGAACTACATACAGTCCATCTATTTTCACTTTAAATAGCTGTAGTTTGAGATGTTTTGCACTAAATTTTAGATAACATTTATTTCAAATGGCGGGCGTTTTGATAGTTATCTTTAACCCTTTAGCTGAGTTTGGGCTTCATAGAGAGGAGGAGAAACATCAAAGCGACAAAAAGACGAGAGGGGGACAGAATAATGATTCACAGATTTAAAGGAAACAGATAGATACAAAGTCAGAGAATAGGTAAGAGGTAAGTCTATCGCACACCCCATTTTAGATAACAAAAGTATTACAATTGTGCGAAGCCCTTCAGCCGACTCTCAGTTTTTATTAATTAGTGAATATTTATAAATCTATTAAAATCGATTTTCTACAATTGTTGTATCCTTTCAAGGGGGGATTTAGTTATTTTAAACGCCTCCTTACCCATTTTTTGTCTTGTCCCCCTCTCCTCCAGGAGCGTTCAAGAGATAGTGGATTTGACTCGATAACCCGAACTTCCATTGTCGCCCTACAATCCAATCAATCACAGAAAAGTATCAATGTCTCGGCAGCGTCAAGTAGCCGTCATTCTTTGCCTTTTCGATCGGGGACTAATATCCTTCCACCTCTACGCCCATCCTCGCGTATTTCATCATTGGATACTGCTCGTAGGCGCTTAACCCCAACAGGCTCTCTTCAGCATCTCTTGCCTCCCTCTAAAAGCTTGTCTGGCCTCTCAATAGCCTCTACCAACACTAGTTTAACATCAACGCATTCACAGTGTCGTTCTATATCTGCTGGAAGTCTGAAACCTCCACATCGACCAACGCCTCTCTTATCTCCTCTCACATCGCGCAGGTTGAGACCCATGAGGACTAAGACTCGTATGGCTGTGATAAACATTCTTGCTGATGAGTCTGTGTGTCTAGAATTCTTTGAGCCTCCTTCACCGACCCAAAAGCAGCCAACAGGAAAGGAACAGCAGCTAGTTGTCGAGGTGATGGGGATCTCACCGGACGGAAACGTGGTAGTGATCTATTACCCCAATGGAGGACGTGGGGTGCCTCCTAATTCCGATTCCCCGGTGTCGGCCTATGAAGGTGACACCTGCAAAGTATACCGACTGGCTCAACTTCCTGAGAAATATTGGAAAAAATATCAGTTTGTGTCCAGGTAAGTCAGCAGTGGTATCCTTAATGTTACTGATGCATTCCTACTGTTAACTAAAATATTGGAAGTTTTAACTGTCACCTAGGGCTGCTAAACAAAGTTTTAAAAAAATCAATCAATCGATGCTGTTGATTACATTATCAATTTGTCTGATGTAATATTGAGGCTTATGCGTTTGTAAACGCCACTCGCAGGCTGAGTTGATTGGAAACACATTTAAATGGAATTTTGAACGAAATATTTGCTATTATTTGATACTCGTTAATTTAAATATAACCTTTTCTAATTACCCATGAGTTTCTTCGTTGTTATTTTCATCGAATGAAATCTCCGAAATATGTTTCTATTTTGACTGGAAATGGAATAGTCCAGCACTTGGTTGAATTTCATTGGTATCCTGAACTAAGATAGAATTCCATTCACTCTCTTCGTATATAACGGGGCAAGGATATTCACCTATCAGAATTTTAGAAGTGCAGGCTGGAATGTATATTTGGTTTATTACTATTCCGCATTTATCCTCTAATTTCGTGGTTTTATTGCTCATTAATTAAATCCCGTACAATGCCCGCATATTAACTGATAAAGTGCTCTTAATGCGTTTGCATATGACGTTTAGGTTCATCAGCATGGCCAAGATGCACACTCCCAAAGTAACTCTCTACACTAGTCGCGCTAAATGCATTCTTATGGAGCGAGTTGAGCCCCAGGCGGAGTTTGAGTTGGAGTTGTTAGCTGATGGAAGTCGCGTCACCTGTTTAGGTGGTGAACATGCTGGAAACGTGCAAGTTATCTCCCCAGTAAATGGCACGTTTACGGTGAATCAGAAGCAACCAACGGATAATCTGCCTTCCTGTATCAGAGACCTCATCACATATGCCGAGAAGGTAAGTTCAATCTGACATTAGTACGTTTGATAAAATAAAATGAATGCTGCATACTTCAGACATTTTTAACTCTTTATTCCTTGGGTATCGGATATCTTGATATCATTTTTATACTTGGTCATCTCAGTTTAGCTCTCTTTTGGCTTTGACGTATTTTATAAACCATAGAGCTTTTTTACAGCTGTTTTTTGTGGTCACTCCATCATTTTATTTTATTCAGAGGGAAAATAATCCTCTTAAGAATTAAAATAAATGACCTGAAGAGAAGTACCACATTGGTTTACCTAGCAACTTCAGTTCCAAATCCAAATATTCGTAGTATCTTGAGTAAATTTGCCTTCAAGATGTAGAAGTTTTGGTATTTTAATATCATTACGTTGCTCGCAATAAATTAGGTTTTCTCAAGTTAACATGAGCTATTCTGCAGTAAGTTACTAGCCATTAACAAGTAATCGACGAAAAAGCAACAATTAGTCAAGCCGGGTAATATTTTATATCAAGTTGGCTGTTTATATTGCTAACAAGTCATTAGCATTTCCTTCATATTCTTTCCATTAAGCAATTAGCGCAAACGGAAATAAAAGCCAGTTGAATAGTTGTGGTATGCTTTAACACTTTGACTGCGACTCCTAGAAAGGACTGTATTCCCGCGCAGCGGTGTCTTCTAACTCACGTAGCTTCAGTTCCCTTGTTGATAGTGAGGTGGAAAGTTGTGTGCCGCTCCTTATACGTAAGTACTGCAGTATTATGTCGAAAAACTAGTGAGCCTTATTTGATACACGTTACCCAATGTGATATGTGCCATCTTTGTGAGCAACGTGCGCCACATAGCGTCACGTTTTTTTAGACCGTGTACCATATATGGCGCACATTGCAGTCAAAGTGTTAAAGGAAAATTGGGAAATGGGAAACAAAAAATTAATCCGAAGATTATAATTGAATAACTCATCACTTTATCTCAATTCCGACACTGCTCTTTCCCAAGCCCATTACTGATTGGAAAAGCTTATTAGACTCCTAATACTAGTACGTAAGTAGGCCTTTGGTCTTCAACTGGTCCAATAAACTTCACCATAATTGTTAATAGTATTATTCGAGCAAATAATTATCGTAGGTTGGAATGAGTTCATACTTTATAATCAGATTATGCTATGAATCGGTTTGAGAGAAAAAAACAATCTTCCATCCACAAGAGTCAGGTAGAATTAACTATCGCCCATCATAAAATGCTTCCCAGTTAAGGAGATGGAATGGGGATAGGCTGGTGTTAAATCCCACTGAGTCATCCTTTTCTTGCGCATGCGATGGCAAAGCTGTTGTGCATAGGTTACGCCCATTGCTCTACTCTTGCGACTTGCAATGACACTCGTATCTAAGCAAATTCCCTGTCCTCCCGTATTTACTTAGTCTGGACATGGACATTTTATAGGTGAAGTGGTTTAGCTGTGTGTGAAGCTAAATTCCACCCACTCCTTTTGTACAAGATTGATTCTATTAAAACCACTTATATATACATATATCGGCCAATAATATTAATCTTACAATCCAGAGCAATGGGAATTATTCACTACTTTTCAGTACCACAAAGTAACTTAAAGGGGATAAAAATCAATAATTGCGGAAAGGGATGAGTAGAGAGCGTAAAAGAAGTTAATACATTTGATTTTCGGATGCGTATTCTAGAATATTCGATGGACAGACAGTTCATTGTTTCAAGTTTCAAAAGTACTTATTGCTTCAATTCATTCCTTTTAAAAGATAACAATGCAGCCCGGCAATTTCATTACCGATTTCACAGAGTAGAGTTCACTCTTGGAAAACTGTGATAATGACACAACATATGAAATTAATAAAGCTGTCTTAACAGAAGGGATTTTTATGCACTAGTGGACCTCTAAGTGAAATGAATCCTATCGATTTTAATCGAGCAGATCTTCCACTCCTTTTTCCTCACGAACTCGACTTTTGTAGGCTCACCTAGTCCCTCCTTCATTTTGTGCCTCGCAAGAAAAAGTCTTTTCCGAATGCACTTTTTGCTTTCGAATACGCTGACTCATCCGTCTCCTTAAGGTAGGAAACTCTTCATCAACGTACTCAATTCAATGGCTGAATTACGAGGCCCAAAGGAAGGAGGAGGGTGGAGGGAAGAGACAGGAGATAAAAAAGGCTTTATTGAGTAATATGGAAACTAGGGGATTAAAGAAAAGGAATGGGAGATAAGTTATTGTTTCACAAGAAGATAAACCACAAAATGAAGAAATCAACATTAATGTTGTAGCTAACATTTTATTGAACGATATTGACTCAAAATACTTCGGTTGCTCGTTCATTTTAACTTGGATCACAATAATTTGATAACGAAATATTTAGAGATGAGCTACTGGCCGTCCCCGCATCTACTAATTTCAATCATACTAAATCTTAAAAACCATGCACTTTTTTCTCGTGAGTTTAAGGTTTGAGGTAAAAGTAATGACTTCCCGAACAGCACAAATTTTATGTTTTTTCTAATAATTTCAAGTTTTTACCCTTATATTCTAATGCCAATTGTACATTTATCCTTCCTTTTAACCTATAAAAATGAAAAAAGATAGTTCTTTGTAAAGGATCTCCTTCAAACTAGCCACTTTGGTTAATGTTTTCGAAAAATTCGGTCAAAAATTACTCTAATGCATTTAAATCTGAATGATTTCAGTAATTCTTTTTAGTGTCGTCTGATTTTTCAATAATCCTTAAGTTTGAACATTCTTGTTTCATGCCTTGAACATACGTTGTCTTGGCAATGACGATGAGAAGAAATCAGTTCCAATTCTCCGTTTAATCTTGAAATAAATATAGTACAACTTAAGCAGTCTTTTATAACGCAAGCACAGAAACGTTTTTGTTGAGGTAATCGGAAACAAGAGGCCTTTCGGTAATAAATCCGATTAACATATCTCAAAGGTCTTTTTTACCTTGTTTGGCGGTGGACGTAGAGAAGTTGATATTTCTTGCCACGAATTCTTTCTATGAAACTTCAATCATCGAGTTGAGTGCATCCCTTTTCAAATGTGAATCACCAAAATTTCCATAATACTTTTTGGTAATCTTTGTCCTCAATTGACTTCTTTCCTACCTTTGCAGTGCCGACGTCGATGTATTGAAATTGAGTCCTCATTAGAGAAATTCAGTAGAGACGTATCTCCATTGGATCCCGAAAGTACATCACCCTTTCCGGTTATTATCGGTCGTCGGCCAAATATAGCTGTCACCTCCAAACCCCTTTCAAGACCTCTAATTCCATCTTCTCCATGTTTATCCAAACTCGTTGCTAATTGCAGAAACATAGCAAACTCAAACGATCACAATCACCGTTCTACGTCACAACAGCGTGATCCAATCTTTGTTCCCTCTGTTGGTTGGGTCTCCCAGCCTTCTTCCGAAGAACTTCAAGTTCAATTCAACGATGGTGCTCGACTTGTTGTCGTCTATACCACAGCAACCGTACACAGCATTCGATACCAGCCCCCTTTACAAAACGGCCAAGACGTTGAGGAACAGGTATATTCCACTGTCTCTTCTACCAATCCTCTCCCACCAGATGTGCGAAGTAGATTGGAGGTTATTCCAAAGGTGGTTCAATGTCTACGATCCAGATCTAAGACTCCTTCTTGAAATTCATTATTTCTTTTGCATTTATAAAAGAGCTGTGATATGTATATATTGATTCCAAGCAGTTAGACATTCTGAAATATTCGTTGATGCTTGCCTTTACTACATATATTTATTGTTTTTACATTTTGCCTGGGAGTACAAGCCTATGCTTATGGAAGGTTTTTGTTAAAATAAGTAAGAAGACATCGCTATTGGTAGGGTGGGAAAAATAACAGCTGTTATTTATAAAGTTGTGATTTGACATTTATTTGGGAAAAAAAACAATTCATCCTGAACGTGAACCATATTCAGCCTTGAATAGTTTACAACTCAGCTTCCCCTTAGACTTCTATCCCTTTTGGACCAATTTCATTTCAACCTTTCGATTTTATACCTTGGGTATAGCAGAAGGAAAGGGACTTTTAAAGTTCAGTATAGTACCACAATTTCAGTTTTTAAAAAAATTCGATTTATGCTAATTTAAGAAGAATTCACGTACTAGACAACCTTAAAACACTTCCATGAGACTTAAACAAAATAATTTAAATATATGCAAACCATGAATTAAGAAAGCTTTCAAACCTGGAGTGTTACGTGAGAACTATCTTAATGATCGAGCCTGGACATCAATTTGTCCATCATTCGGGTCTGTGTGCTTGGGTATACAATTGATTAATTCTGCCTTGGTAAATTATTCGCCATAAAGGTCATCTTCAGATGCTTCTCAATGGACCGATTTAGGAAAACGATTAAATTTTAACAACCTTATCGCAAGTGTCTAACTTTGCCGTGACTCCTTCTATAACCGAAGTAAAGTTTTCTTCGGTATTAGCTTTGGGCAATCCGAGCTTGGGTAGCAAAATAGCGGTTTGAATTAAAACTCGGGTGGCTGTTCTCTAATAAAAGTTCGTTTGAAGCTGGGTGACTCATTATTGCTTTAGTATTGGACCCCCAAATAAAAGAAGTGAGAACCTAAGAACAGTGGCATGCCTGCAATAACCTCTGAGTTCAATATTATTACCACGTTGATGTTTGATATTTTGGTAACAAGCTATACATGGATTCGTTTCCTGTAAGAACATCAAATGGTAAGTATTTGTAAAAATAACGACCGTCATTAATGATTCTAACTCGAATTGAAGTTTATAGGAATGTATAAATGTGGCTATCCACTTATCAGCTCTCTGGTTAATTGTGGTAAATTGATCGGAGACAATTGTCTAACGAACAAAAATTGTATAAAGGTACTGCATGACAATTGTGTAATACAGTGGATAAGAAAATGGAGGCACCTGAGTTCATAAATGAATGTTAAATAATTTCATTAACGTATCGTTATAGCTTCTAAACACCAATAGCATACCGAGTTTAAATAAAAACTAGTCAATAAGTAGGACATTTCGAACAAAAGCAAGTTAATTGTTTTTAAAAGAATAATTCCTCCTGTCTAAAGTATTAGTTTTAACTCGAGTTCCCCAATGTTGGCTTAGCAAGGCATTGATTAGTTAATTTGGATGCAGATTCGAAAATGGATTAAATTGGTTATTCGCGAGGTTTGAAGCCACGTTGACTTATATTTCTCAAACCAAGTCCATTTTGGTACTAATGATGTTCATAATTAAAAGCGGATGCTCTACTCCCATTTACATAATTATTGGTAATCTACTTGTTGTCGCTTTTGCTCTTTAAGCAAGCCTAAATGAGTCCTCAAGAAAACTAAAGAAAATAAAATGTTGTGGCCAAATTCCCTTATAAAAACGCATGTTACTGAAATACTACTAGTAGCGGAATAAAATTTGTAATTATTGTCAAGTTGCCTAGACAACGAAGCAATACAGAACAATAATTCTACTTAGAATTGGTCACAATTTGTTAGGAACTATCCCAAAATGGTTGTTTTGCGGAGGTCAAAATCAGCTCCGCAATTGATCCGCTTACCTATTCTAGGTATAGAATTCACCCACAAAGCGGTCCGCTCATTGACTCCCATAAATCCTCCACTCGAACTTTTCGCTTCCATGAGGGATATAGATGTATTTTTTACTTAATACCTTTGAACATCTTTCCAGGTTTTTGAAGTGTTAACTGTTGATGACTTAACACAACTCCAGCGTCTTATTGAAAAAATGGGTCAAATAAATTGTTCCACTTTCGTAGAATTATTGAAGAGTTATTCAACTAAAGTAAATGACCGCCAGGTACTTTACGTTTAGTTTAATGAAAATTGAATCCAGGTGGCTAATTTGTTTGATAAAATAGATGTGAAGGCTTCTGGAAGTATAAATTGGAATGATATAACGACATTTATTATACAGCGTCAATGTCTAAGAGACAAAGAAAATCGACAGGCTAACGAGAATGAATTCAATTGCAGAGTTCGACCTCTGATTCATAAAGACCCCATTACTCGAATTGAAATTATGCAAAACAACAGCGACTTGATCATAGGTTCAAGTGTAACGACTTGTTCAAGCATTTTCATTTATTTCATTTCCCATAGGACGGGTTGCTTTCTATCTGGACGGGAGATCTGAAACCGAAAAGACTGATGCAGTTAAAAATTGAAGAAAAATCTCATCCAGGAAGAAGAAAATGGTACACAGATTTTATATTTCTCTACGATATTGGGAAGATTATAGCAAGTACTGGGTAATTTTAAGAAAACATGCCAAATTTATATTTATTAATTTTTTAAGGGACAGAGAACTCGAATTTTATGAGATGACCACGTTCAAATTCTATTTCTGCATCAACAATCTGGATACTGTCCCTATGTGCCTATCATATGGGTAAGAGGTTTTCCAATCTCGTTGTCAAAATATTTAAATTGTAAGGGTAGTATGTGAGATTAGGCGAAATTCAAATAGACTTGCATATTTATGAGACTATACAAGCATAGCCACCAGATTACTTCATATATAGTAATCTTTAGAACTTCTACTAATAATACAGGTCTCCCATTTATACTTGAAATATTTATTGAAGCTTAAATGCTCATACCCCGTTATTTAATGATTGTGAGGATTTTTGAAGAATATGTTCAAATGAGGCGTTCGATTAACGTCATGACAAAACAGGTGGATAAGACCCCTCTCCTAGAGACATCTACTTCGTATTCCAACATATAATCATATTTTAAGCGTATAGTTGTATGATAATATACATCCACACTTTAAAGTATAACGTTTATCATAACCTGCGCGTAAGTGTGCAATAAACACATTATTTGTTTAATTAATATTTATATTTGTGTAAGAAATTGGTGCATCCCAATCCGACATTTGTATAGGTGAATTGGGCAGAAAATTGCTGTGTGGACATTACACAACCAAACCGCTGCAAAACCCAAACGACCTTTTAAATCATACCCCTTTAATAAAAGTACTGAGAAATTTTATAAGTTACGAAAACTATGGGATGAATAGTAGTTATTGCAAATTATGGCTTGCAGCAAGCATGATCAGTAAAGGAAGATATTTAACGCAACTCCACATGAATATTAATCGCTGATTAAACATGAAGGTCATTGCACGTCCGCAGCATTTACTCGCTATGTGGTTGGTGGTTGGATCGCACTATACAAAATGTTCAAGCTCGCACAGGGTTACTTTGGCTATAAATTTATGAAATTTCTCTGAAATGTCTGTTGGGAAGAAGTTTTTAATCGTATGAAACCGATAGTTTATGGGTAAAATTTAAGCAAAGCCAAGTTTTCTTCCCAATTGCAATTCTTGGTCTAGCAATAATTGAGCCCCACATTATTTTAAAAGCTAATTGAACTGCTAAGTAAGCTGAGAATAATCCATCTCAGTTTTAGAACTATTTTACCTTAATAAAGGAGATATTTTTCATCATGATTTTCAACACAAACACTTTAGTAAGTCACATCTTCAAGACAAAAAATTCGGAGAGCGAATATATCTTTCATCCACTTAATTAAATTTCATCTGCACTACTCTTTGTTTTTAAAACAATGTGTATCCTAGTTATTCACTTTACATTCAATTATTTCATTAAATTTCATGTATTATTAAAATAGGGCCTTTGTCGGTTTGTATTTTCAAATTTTCGCATATAAATTTGAGACATTTGCTTAAGGAAATTACAAGATATCAATCAAAATGCTCTCATATGGGGTGATTCCAACGGATGCATAAGCATTCTCCAACTTACTGATCTTGCTGACTTGCTACGTCAGTGGCGTTCGATGCAGTTGAAAAATGCAATTCCAACCATGAGCATCAGTTCTATCATCATGAATGAGACAGTTTCCTTCGTTCGTTGGAAAACTCACGATGAGTGGGTTGCCAAGGTAAGACACTTCGTAAAAATGTCTTTTGAATGCGAATAATATCTCATCACAGAATATTTACAACTTTGAACATTTCAAACTGACATATTCTTTGATTTCAGCATTAATAGTTAATTATTTCCGTTTTTAAAGGTTAAATTAGTGGATACCGACGCTATAGTCATAAGCTGTTGTAATCATGAAGCGAATTCCGTAGTCATTGGTAAGTCTTAGCTACTTATGTAACACTTAAAACATCTTAGCACAGCACTGAGATCACCATGGATGTACAAAAATTCATCTTAAAATATTAATATTTTTGTAAAATTCCAACCTTAGAGCTATGAAAAGCTTCGTTATTCCTAGCACGGTGAGCATGATACACCTCAACTCAGTTGGTCGGAAAAAACCTTTCCTGTTTCATACCAGCCACAATTGCCTTGTTAATCACCCCTAATGGCACATATTATCACGAAATTAACAAGAAATGCATATGATCAGAAAAATATACTGTGTGCAAAGGGCAATACCATTCTTAGGAGAGGGTAGTGGTCTCTGTGACTATTATTCCCATTGTCTCAAAATTTTAATCCTTCCTTCCATATTTCATGGTAATATTGGTCTATATATCCTTCCATAATCTACTTGAATATTTCTAAGATGTCCTTCAACGTATAATTAAGCAGAAAACACTTCTTACTACTCTTGCTGAGCAAATTTTGGTTCAAAAATCGATAACAGAATAAAGTATAGGAGTGGTAGATAGTGACGTGTCTGATGGCTGAATAGGTCGCAGTTAAACAGGATCAAAGAATAAACTCTTCAATGTATACATCCTTGCTGCTCGTAACAACTGTTCCTGTATTATTTAGGGAGGCTAAACGGATTAACACCACTACTACGGGTAGACTTAATCCCTGGTCCACGCAGGCGAGATCTCACTTCAAGTACAACAAGCAGTGAGTTTGAAGTAATAAAATTTAAGCAAGCAGACTGGTATTAGTTCACTCGAAATAGTATTTACCCATAAACCTCCCAGAAGAACGAAATAAGCTGAAGATAATTTGAAGGGTATACTCAAATAAACCCATTACTTTTTCTTCGTTCAGCTGTCACAGATGCAATCATTCAGCTTTGCAGCGATTGTTCCTCAGCGTTTCATAAAGTATTCTTGGGAGTCAAAGTATTTTGTGAATTTGAGAGTAATAAGAGGACGTTAAGATTAGATAAAAGACACCCAGACCGGAAAAAAGTTGTCAAAACTATGAAATGCGAAATCACATTAGAGGTTTAACAGTTAGGGAATGATATAACAATGAAATTATAAATCTACCTTCTGGTGTCACTGATCACTCGAGTTAAAAACAGACACAGCAGGTGCTTGAGCAAACACGTCATTTGGGTTCCGAATGGTAAACCAATTTTGACAGGATGCAAAAATTGGCATGTTAGTAAGTAGTCCAATGTTCTTACTTTCATGTTTTAATGTCATTTATGATGAAGTCGCATTCCAGTTGCTTGCCACTTTCCCTATACACATAGAAAAGGGACATGCAAACATGCGAATTATCTGGGTGAGTTGCTATCATTAGGTTGAACTGCTATTACAATGCAAGTACAATATTGACTTCCGTATTTTCAGTCGAATTAAGAGCTTTATTGAGCAGATCTATCAATAAATTGTGAGTTTTCATTTAAGCTACCGGACGTACATATCTATCCGAATCCTGATGATATATAAAACCAAGTAGAATGTAACTCTTTGAACACTGCGTCATTTGATTTTTAACGTTAAGGTTCCTCAAGGACTTTATTTTCACGAAGAACTTATTCAAAGACTACATCAAGTATCCCATCAGCTAGATACTCATCGATATTTACAGCTAAGAAAAGGGATCCATTTGAACAAAGAGTTTTCAAGGTTAACAAAGGAGTTCGATTTTTCGATTACTCGAAAAGAATGAATATTCTTATTACTGGAGGTACCATAACTATTTAGTGAATCATTGACGCCTTCGTTTAGGAATGGATAGGATAATAAGGATTTGGAATCCCTACTGCACTGTGTAAGTAAAATACCCTTCTTAGCTAGAATTCATCTTTATTATATTCAGCGTTTATTCAAAAATTGATAATTTAACTCAAGCTTTTACATATTCTATTTTCAGATCTCCAATTGGGAAGTTGGTTGGCCATGCATCTGCTTTATGTTTTATTGGAATAAATTTCGAAGATAATACAATTATCAGTGTATCTTCTGACAATTGCATAAAGGTCAGCCTCAACCAGTGTTGTGAATATTCAATTTTTAGTTCTGGTTTCGTAACACCTTAAACACTGGATTCTTCTTTAGGCAAATGTTAAAATTGAAAATTCACGACTTTCAGTAGCCGAAGTAGACAATTCAAGTGTTCTTTATTTGAAAGTAGGGATCTTATGCAAGGTTCCAACTTTTCTTCGATGTGACGGACTGTGTCAGTCCCCGTAGGGTCAATCACAGTTGCAGAAAGCTGGAAATTCAAGCACACTTATCCCTTATTGAACGAATTTGGTTTAAAATCATACTATATCTCAACAGGTTCTCGAAATTTTAAAGTCTGATGTTTCGTTCTTATTAACTCGACTCTTCTCGTGTTCTAGTACTGGGACGCCTTAAGGGATTTAGAAGCACCTCGAACGTAATTCCAGTGTAACTTACAGGACCCCCTCAAGCTCAGTAGAAATTAGTCATCATCATAAGCATTCAATCACTTCAGCACTGATCTAAGTTTACTAGAGTTTCCCATTCGTTCGCGCACTCTGTTTTATCTGCTATGCAGACATTTAGCAGAATCAAATTTCCATTGAGAAAATCATGGTTGATTTATCTTGCTGTTACCTTGGCTCATAGTAAACGTGTTCACAAGTTTCTCAATCTAATTTGTTACACTCCTACATCTGATTTTTCTACAGGTCTGGGACCTAAACGGTCAGATTTGCCAGACACCACTTTCCACAAAAATCTGTCCCAAAAACCAAGTCGATGTACAGTGCTGCAACTTCTCTCAGACTACACGTTCACTTGTCATCGTCACGGACAAAGCGTACCTTTTACGACTTAGGTCCAAGTAAGCACCAATCAAAATCAAAGTGTTTGCTATTCACTTATTGTAAATAATCACTTATAAAATTAGAAACTAATTTATAACACATATTTACGAAGCAAAATGTATTCCAATATCAAAGGTAGAGAATTTCATATATTGCTTTGATCTGACAGAGTTAACTTTTAATTTTTAGCCATTTAGCAGAGGAGAGAAATTGGAATGAGACTCATCAATCTTGGGAGTATTTTTCCGGATGTCTTTTTGGAAACCCATCGCAACCTAATTCATCTATGATGAAGAGTATGAAAACGCGGTAGGCACTAACTAGTCCTGCTTTCATAAAAATGCAATTTCATTTAAACAGTTTCATTATCGTAGGCAGTGAAACGGATTGTTTGATAAACAAACCCGCATATTTTAACTACAAGAATGGCATTGCTATTGAAAATTAATTCAGACACATAATAGTAAGGAAATTGGACAGAATGTTTCCAGGAAGTGACCTATTCGCAACCTGAAAAGTTCATTGAATGACCAAGAAATGAGAGAAAATAGAGAGGTATGAAGAAGAAGAAGAAGAATTATAAATTCGAAGATCGAGGACTGAGGTGATGATTTGGTCTACCTTGTTAATCACCATCAAAGCATACAATTTGAATACAAAAAATGAAACCATAAGGTAAAAGAGGATGAAGAGGGGCGGAAATGAGGACCAGGAAATATAAAAATTATAACTTGTTTAAACAAACGGCCATTTGCCTCATGTTGACTCAACTCCACCGTGAATGATAGAGACCGATGAAGCCTGCTCTGTTCAATGGTCACACCATGTTCCCAAGTCTGCTTCCTCATTAGACCACTATGTGCCGGTGCATACCTCAATTTGATCCAGGAAGGTTCACTAGCCTCCATCTACTCTGTTTGTGCACAAAGCAAATATGCGAATTAACAAGTACATCCAATGAAACTTTAAAGATGCATTTGGAAGAGTATACGTCTGGAATGCTGCGTATGCATTTTCCATAGTGTAAAATATGCGCAAGAATTAGCTTATAGTACCTGAGAGAGCTGAAGACAACTTTGGTATGAATCACATCGAACCATATTCTAGCACGACAGTAGACTGTTTTGCCAATCACACTTTTTTTCGGTTAGACCCAGGAATATCAGAAATTAATCGATCTTACAATTCTATTAGTTTAATATGTTGGTATATTGTAGAGATCGTCTTCTTTGGGAACCTGTTCGCTCGCATAAATTAGGGGTTAGTCTCTGCAAATACAACGCATCTTTCAACCACCTTATCACTGCAGGTGTTGATTCAGTAGGTCGTTTTCCTTGAATACATTTGTCAAAATTTTATAATTTTGCTGAATATTTCAAATTAAATTGTTTATTTATTATTTTCAGAGTATTAGAGTTTGGAATTTCAGCACAGGTCAGTTGATTTCGGAAATCACAGACGCGCATTGCGGGGAACAAATCACATGCATGTGTTTTGATCTCACCGAAAGACGCCTCATAACTGGTGGAAGAGATGGCTACGTGAGAATTTGGAATCATAACTCTGGAGCCTGTCTCATGGAAGTCGAGCCAAGTAAGAAGATTTCATGTGCAAATATGCGCATGTAGTTTGTAAATGGCAAATAACTTCGAATAAAGAATGCAGCGATGATGTTAACGAAAAGCTGCAGCATAAATAACAGTATTCAGTTCATAATTAATGAAGTTGGGTGCAGTTCCGAATTCCGGATAGGCTGGCTATGATACTACCTGTTCTATTAAGGTGCAATATTTGGATAAAGTAACAATTAGTATTTCTCGACAATGGCTTAAAGAAGTATCACTTGTGAATACAATTAATCCATTTGATTATTAGTGATTTCATATACTTTAGAAGCAAAAAATTCACAACACTTTAGAGAAAAAGCCCTTGAGCTTTGCTGTGTCTAAATAGTTTTAAGAATAACTAACAAAACCCGTTAATTTAGTTATATAACCTGTGATTGAACAATGAGTAGTACAATTTGCTAATTTTTAGAATCGAAAAATGGCGAAGGCTTCATCATCTCTGCAGTTGAATGCAAAATCATTGGGACTGGAAGGTAAGAGAAAGAATTCTTTTGCAATGTTTTGATATAATCAAACAGAGTTAATTCAGTAATATAAACTTGATTACCTTATACTCGGACTTGTAGCACGAAGAGACTCGAGTAACTAGAAAAATGCAACACCGAATTTGTATTTCTTAGTCTGGGGCGTTTCTCGCCAATGACACCTGGCCAAAATGCTTTATACTCAGCTATTGATAGTGTTCTGTTTTATTTATTAGTAAAAATCTTGAGAAGATGCTGAGTTTGTAAGACTGACTATTTGCATTGATTTATTGGTTAGTAAATTTTGGATCTGATGGATATGATCCTACTTAAACATCAATGCTCATATAATTACACCTGACGTATAAAACGTTTGAACGAGAAATTGTGTATTACGTTCATTGATTAAAAATTGCTTCGTTCGAATCTGAAAATGAAGTGAAATAAAATCTATCGTAGCGGATTGCTACCTTAGTAAAGCCTGACTGACTCAGAAATCTCTATGGCAGATACTCCAACATCTAGCTAGACTCCCAGAAACAGCTAAGCTATAGCCCAGCTATGAAGGAAACAGACGCACAGCCCAGATCACGTATACTCAGTAAGTGTATCGTGAATAAAGTGTACACTCAGGGAGCTACTCATGATCAGGATGGGGGATTAGATTAAACAAACGGGAGCCACTGATTGGCCACTGTGTGTACGATCGCTGTGCACAGAGTTGTACGGCCGCACCTCCCAATCCTGGCATGCAGGCATGCGATGACGCACAAAGCGATAACGTGTCTCACACTATCAATGCCCGGACTTATTTTTGAGCATCTACTTGAACTCCACGTCTTATTGGCGTTCAGTTGATGCTGTTCGGTCTCAAATATTGTCATTTTACTTACGTTTCATGTCTGAAAGATATAAATTCAAAATATTCCCAAAACATTTTCAATTATTGCCAGTGCACTGCGTTTAAAATTACGATAAAAGAAATAAATACCGCTGCTATCAAATGACAATGTTTGTTAACTACGAGAAGCAGCAGGACTAAAGATTTCTAGTTAATGAGATTATTTTTTCCAGATATATTGTTGTGGTTGGATGGAATCCAAGAATCTGCCTTTATCTCGACGACCTAGAAACATTCTTGAATGAAGCCAATCACGAAATTAAGCAACACTTGCTCCCACATTGGCGTGATGATAAGGACACTTCAGTTGAAATTCAGGAAGACATTTGCGCGATGGCCATCTCACGCTCCTCTAATCTCCTTGCTACTGCTGACTTCATTGGTGAGATCTGCGTGTGGGATGCTGTCAGCGGGCACGTTCTGAAACGCCTTGAAAAACCAGGTTAGCTATATTTAATTAAGACCTTTTCTTTTCTAAACTCAATTTTGCAATTTAACACTCAGATGATCGTAAAGGCGGAAACATAAGTGGCTTATTGTTCCTCGAAAGTCGTGAGAAGAACAAGAATGGGGCATGTCTCGTATCCTGTGGTCCATCAGACACTATTCATTTTTGGTCCATCCATGCTGATGCACCTGAATTTGCCGCATTCCACTCCGTAATCACTTTGTTTAATTTTAATACATTTTCCCGTTTAGTCATCCATGGAGAAAGTGGCACCAACAAGAGTAGCTATTGGGCAAGTATGTGAGGACGGAAGGTTAGTGGATTCATATCTATTTACTTCGGATGAAATGGGATGGGTTCAGGTTTGGAATATCAGGCACTACGCACTTTCGGGTCCGGAAATGAACCAACCCCCAAGTTAGTGCAATTAATTTCTAATACCTTATAAGTTTGTTCCAGTAAAAATAAGCGCATGGTTTAAATAAGAGATTCCCTTAATTTCGTTTAATGAAAGTTCTTTATATCTTCGATTTTATAAAACCAATTAAAGTGAAATATTTTAGTGTTTGGCATGACTTATTCAACGTCCCCTCCTTTCGATTTAATAGAGTTGTATACGTGGAGATGCCACACGGCTTCTGTCACTGGGATTGAAGCAATTAATGACAGGAAGCTACTGGTGACCACATCATGGGACTTTTGCGCCCGTCTGTGGACATGGCGAGGCTGCTTCATAGGTACATTTGGACAACCAATTAAATGGGATATTCCTCGTATCGTTTCTTTGGCAGTTAGTCAGATGGGACCATTTGACGTGCTGGTTAATCCAAAAACCCAAATCGTGCCAGAATATCAAAGTATCAATGCGAATATACTCAAGAAAAATGTCAATACACTGTCAAGGAGAAGGTGGGGAGGTGTGGTCTTCGATGGTTACTCAGAAGAATTATTTGGCGAAACATGGGTATTGAAAAGTTAACTTTTTTATTTGAGCCCACCTACGGAATACTGAGAATGCTTTTTAGTTCAAGAGCAAAGAAATTAATAATATAATTGGAAATGCTATGCAACATCCTGAGGACTTGTACAAGGAAGCAAAGATCAGCAAGTGAGGTGTTTATAAGATGTTGAATCTCATGCCGCCACTTAAATGAAAGAAATTCAGCAGTTTTTTAATTTCATTTAGAGTCGTTAATCCTGCATCAATTGGAACTGGTTTGTCGGTCAATGAATCGCATCTAAGAATATTTAATCGACTTTTAGTTTACCCATTGGACCCGGAGTGCTCATCAAAGTGGCTCAGAAATAGTCACATTCTGAACCAGTAAATGAAGACATTGAAGACACCCAATCAGACAAAGGGATAGCACTTCTGAGACCATCTTTTGAGCAACCCATTCTTTCTCAGCCGCGTTAGGCACATTCACATTTGCTTCATTGTTAGAGGGAATTTCGCATCAATTTTTGGAATTGATGCGTATTCAATACATTAAAAATACCGATAATTATATATTTTCTAATAAAAAACAAGGGGTATTGATGACATTTACTGTTTGTAAATGTTATTACAACTTATTTATTAAGCGAGAAACTTAAAACCCTTTTATAATATGATATTTTAAGATAGCTATCTAGCAATTGATTCGATTTCCTGTTATTAAAGTGTATCTATATACTTGATAACACGGGGTGTGCGATAGACTTACCTCCATATGGTGCACCATGGGCAACGTATACTCATACGGTAAAGAAGCCTATAAACCGGTAGTTGAGTTCTGACTTCAAACTACCATGGCCCGACTGTAAGTTCTATTCGATCAGTACCACAGTACTCATCTTACCTTTTCTCTGCATTTGTTTCTATCTGTCTGCCTCTATTATATCTGTAAATCACTCTTCTTTTCACCCCCTCTCAAATTTATCAACTAAAGGGCTAATGATAACTATCAAAACGCCTGACATTAGATATAAATGAGCTTGATAAAACCCTAATTTTATGAATAGCTTCATATACCAAAAGCTAAAGCAAGACTCATTAAGAAATCTGAAATTTATTTATATCAAATGGCAGGCGTCTTGACAGTTATCATTAGCCCTTTGGTTGACTTCAGGCTTCACAGAGGGGAAGGAACATCAAAGTGAAAAATGTCGAGAGGAGAGGGGGACAGACAAGTGTTTCAAAGATGTAAAAGAGACAGGCACAAAGGTAGAAAAAAGGTGATGTGAGTACTATGAAATTAGTCGAATATGACATACAATTGGGTCATGTTGATTTAAAGTGAGGAGTCACCTGTCGATTAATAGACTTTTTGCCGAATGGATATACATTGCCCAGGGTGCACCACGTGGAGGTAAGTCTA